ATCAATTTAGGAAATTCTTGTTTCTTGCCAGTTTTGATTATACCGATATTTGTGAAGCGCACAATGTCAATAAGACTGACATTCAGTACTTTCTACGTTCTAGCATAATCTGCAAAATGCGTTGAAGATATCGTCCATATCGCATACTGCGCAGAAATCCAGAATAAATACTGCGACAACCCGAATAAGTGAATGTATTCATTGAAACAAAAACACTTTCAATTTCTGATCCTCGAAAATAGATTGTTGAAGTACATATCATACAGCCCTCGTGAGTATATGTCTATTGGTATAGGATGTTGCGTTAGTGGGCACAATTTGGACGAATAAAGAAAGTGAGTTATATGGAAGGTGGAATGGACGCTCATAAGATTATGGGGGCAAGATTAGGGAAAATTGCACTATTCCATGTCATCAGGTAGAAGAAAGTTGGATGGTGTAGGAGGCAGTTGGAATTTTGGAGACACCAGTTTCGCCATTGGGTATGGAAAGGATAGACAGACTTCTGATAAGGCACTGAACTTCTAAATTTATTTTCGAGAAGTTGAACAACTCAGAAAGCTAAATCGTGAGGGTACACCAGGTGAATCAAAATATTCCATTCTACTTAAATGTCTCCCAGTATCATGTCTCTTACGTCTGAGATTCATTATTCTGTACCCCCCCCCCCACTCTCGACTTTCTGTCACTTTGATGTTCCTCCTCCTCCCTGTGAAGCACGAAGTCAGCTAAATATCTCATGAGAACTGTCAAAACGCCTTCCATTTGAAATAATTAAATTTATTTAATTGAGCCTAAACTGGCAATTGTTCATTATCATAAATTGTCATTATTGTTCTACCTAGCTCCAGGCTCTAGTAGTGAAATAGAGAAATTAAAGACAGCAATAGGTCTGATTGATTCTTTCTCATTTTAAGCTGACTTCTATGAATCTATAAGCGGTGAGAGTACATTCTGTTGCCGTTGGTATTTAATTTTACTGAAGCAAGGAATCACTGATGAGGAATGCAACGGCATGGATTTTTATGTCTTTATTTAATTAAATGATGAAATATTTATGAATTTTTGGTTTCTGGCATAGGTGAAAGATCGTTTAAGCAAAAAACTTGTTGAAGCACATGAAGTATATTACAATTTGTCATGAAACAATAAGACTTCAAAATTCTGAAACTGTTTTTCCAAAGTTGAAATAATTATAAAATGAAATGAACAAAAGTGAAATTGTGTGCCTTATTTAAGAGATCTATAAATAATGTTGCTTTGTCGTTACTTGTTACTAAAATAGTTTAGTGTGAGGCGGTTTGAACTTTCATTTTGATGTATTTTTTGGGAAAAATTTCTAATCTTTTCAGACTCTATCATTACTGTTTTGACATCATTGCCTCCATGGTGTCAATGTCTGTTTACCGGCTATCTTTCTGTATCCAGGAGCTGAAATGATGTGATATTGAGAGACTTTTGGTTATAATGCTTTCATTCAAAAGAGATGTAAATGGCAGAATGCACCAATAGGGACAAAGACGGATTTTGGAATTACAAACAGGAAACCGGTTGAGATTAATAACCTCTGAAATTTGGATGACACAAAAGTTTGAGCACTCAAATATATTTATACAACATTGCTTAGCTAATGATCTTTCCCTAGCAACTCCAAATGTGTTTACTAAACAGTGCTCTTCATGCAGTGACTCTACCAACTGTTGACAAACAGTTCATTCTTGAAACAGTGTTCTCAAGAGTGTTCAGAAATGAAGTCGTCAAACGCGTGACTTCCACTGAACATCACGTGGATAAAAGGTAGATTTTGAATTTGAAGCACACATTCTAACGAGATGTAAACTGTGAGCAAACCAGAGTTGAGCGACTGTCTGTGGTAATGCTTCTGCTAAATATCACAATTAAATTTTAATTGCTAGGCAGATATTGTGATGGAGAAATTAGCATAGTTTGGTTTAATGATGAACAGTTCATTCTGAAAAGTGAATGAAACCAACCTCACACTTCCAATGCTAATTTGAAAAAAATTCCTTTAATGAGAAAACTTTTAGATGAATTTTTTCTATCAGGTCACTTGGTAAGGAGCTATGCAGCATGAATTTTTCAATTTAGACCTTTTCTCATATCATATGATGGTGTAACATTAAAGTTGAGCCATATGGATGTGATGACCCATTACAAACAAGATGACAGGTGAAGTGGAAACTTTTGCTGCTTTCTGTACAATGCGGATTATTGTGCCTTGTCAAGTCGCGAGAATCAATTTTTCATAATAATAAGACGTTTTGGCTATAAAATCATCAATTTTGATTGCGACAAAGTAACCGACTTGTCCCTTTACGAAATTGTATTGAAATTCGACAATTTTTTTAATGCAAATGTGCTCTGCAAGGAGATCGAGATCTGACTCTTGTGTTGCCTGATTGCATTTTCTGTTAGAAATTGAGATCAAACCATATTTACCACAAACTCAAGATTGTGGGGGTGATAAGTTAACTTAAATTTAAAAATTGATATGAATAGTTGATATCAGGTAGAAATCAACTATTCTATTATATTAATAAACATGTTAAATCTATTGGCAAATTAGGTCATTCGCCAGATCTAATAACTGGAAATTATGTACTCGGGTATTATGACGGTAGGAGATTTGGAGAAATGCTTACACATAAATGTTGGGTCATACTTAGAAACTGTTTGCATCCTGATAGTTGATTTTTTTTCTTAAGCACCCAAATGAGTCTACATGCAAAGATTATCATTTGTGATTCCAATAAAGGTCAAGCATATGATATTGTGTTGCTTCCAAAATGGAGTTCATAAGTTAGTAATTATGATTACATATGTGGATTATTCCAGCATGGTATATATAAATATGAAAAATCAAATTATTTTTCCTAATTCAAAAGACTCCTTTATCACATGGTTCGCTTATGACATGTGTATTTCACCTGTTAAAACTCAACAGAGCATGGAAGGCCAAACAAAAGTGTCTGCATCTAATGTCTGGTTCTAGTGGCGTTCCGTGCAGTGAAGTGAGACGAGAAGTAAAGAAATGGAGCAAGTTGGGTTGGCCTCGTCATATGAGAAGACCTATTTAAGTGAAGAAGAAGTAGGCGTTCACCAGTATTATTCTTTCAGATCGCGCCATCTATGTCCTCTTGGTTCTTCTTTCTCCTCTTGGCAATAGTTCAATTGCAGGCAAAGACCCACAATGGTGAGCAATGTTTAGCCGATTTTCACTTATAACCGAATTTTTATGTTTATTTCCCATTTCCATGAACTATTGTTGAGCCTATGTCTAGACTCTTTGGTCAGTTAATACATGCGATAACTAGACAAATTGATGGTTGGCTCTCTGAAGTAGTCCGTTGAGACTTGCTGACAAGTATTCTTTCATTGCAAAGCTATTAAATGGAATGCATTTACACGATTACACTTATTCCATTTTAGCTGGCAAATACAAATCGATGTGCACTGGAATTAGTCTGCTGAAGTCCAACAAAGTCCGACTCTCATGGATACCACCAGTGATGGAAAATGGAGAGATTCCCACTTATAGAGTTTTCTACTTTCATGATAGTGCACTCTCAATGACACTCACCTCTAAAAACAAATTGGAAATTCCCGTCAATGAGAACGACACTATGATCAGAGTCATTGTGAGAACTGTTACCAAGTCTGAAGTTTGGATAGGTGAATACAATAAGGATCCGAATGAATGCAAATTCAACTCGAAACGAAGTAACGATTGCATTTTTTGTGTAACCTTATCCTTTAAAATATGCCCCATTATTCAACTATACTTTTTTGACAGAAATGTTAGTTTGTTACTGCCATAACCTAAGTCATTAATGAAAAATGTTGACAGTTGTTTCCAGAATGGCATTCACTCACTCACTCATTCATTCATTGATTCATTAATTCAAACATTCATTCAGCAAGGAAATAGCCTTTCATAGATAGATTAGGTAGCAGGTGAGTCAGTTAGTGAGGCAAGAGGGGGTTTCTCTTGACGGATGGAAAGTGGAGGAATCGATGAAGCAGTGTGAGGAAGTCTCTGAACCTTACCCAGGTGCACCGGAACTACTCCATGTTCACACACGACAGAAGTAATGAATTTTCATATCGATACCACTTTGCGGTTGTACTCATGAACATTATGCAATAGTAGAAGTAAATAACCATCTTCATTCCTTTCCATTTTAGCCGAAGTTTTCCAACACCAAATACCTGATCCTGACAGTGAGGGTAAGTATTTTTCTTTAACCATCAATTATTTTCTCAAATTAAATGTTTATTAAGTATTTCCTATTTACGGAAGAAATGCAAGTCGTACTTAAGAGCACAAATCTAGAATTTGAATGTGTTTACCTATTTGTGGGTAATTCTGATTAGTTCAGAAATTGTAATAGGTGAAGATATGATTTGACAATTGTAGCAAACATCATAGCGAAAACGTGCAGTCAAACCGATAAGACCAGAACAGAAATGATTGAATATGATATTGGGAAAGAATGTCACTTTTGATGGCTGCATTGTTTGTAATTTCAAATGAAAGATGTGATTATGATGTGGTGGAATGTGGTACTTTTGACTCACAAGTTTAGAAATCTTGAGAGCTTATGCTCATTAAAATTTCTGAGAACTAACCTAGTGAGGTTGATTGTCATATAAATGCATTTGGAATATCAGAAACATTAGAATATATAAAATACAATATTAAGTAGCACAGACTTAGAGGAGTAGTTTGAAAGAGTGTCAGAGAAGTGAGAAATGACCGTGGGCTCTGGCAACATAGAAGGTGAATGGTAGGTTAAGATGTTAAGGAAAATTTAAATTATATTAAACGATGCAAAATGATGCAAAACTGAAAACTGCTAACAGAAAGTGAAATGCTTGATCAAGTAGAGAAAATCAAAAGTCCGCAGAACTCAAATTCAAGGCAACATGAGACATTGTTCGTTCGACTTTTGTTGCGATTTGAATATTGGTGATAAAATGGGTTGATTAGTGGGTGGGTCATTCCAATTGAATTCCTTCACCTGAATGATCACTCTGCCTACTCTCATTTCCTTAGTAAGGCGAAACCTTTTCTGAGATAGGTTAGGTAGATGGTGAGTCAGTTAGAGAGGTGATAGGGGTTTCCATTGACAGATGGAAAGTGGAGGAATCGATGAAGATGTATGGGGAAATCTCTGAACGTTACTCAGGTGCACCGGAATTAATCGATATTCATACGTCTCTAAGCAAAAACTCACAGACATGGCTATTTTCCTTATTGATACCACTTGGCGGATGTACTCATGTCATGATGGAAGAGTAGAATTAACTGATCATTTCCTTTCATACCCCTTTCAGTTAACATTTTCATATTTCAGCTCTCTGATCTTGACAGTGAGGGTAAATATTTTTCTTGAAATAAAAATTATTTTCCTATTAAATTGCCCACTGAATGTTTCCTACCAACGGAAGCATGCTGAGACAAAATTGCAAGTATTTACTGGTTTTGTGAAGCAATGCAAATGGCACTCATTGTGAGTAACGCCAATCGGCTCAAAAAATTAGATTGACAGGAGAAGTAAAAATAACGTGCAGTTGTTAAACAAGGTCTAGTCTGGTGACAGCAGTAGTTGCAATACCAAGCGAGAAATGCGACTGTACTTTGGTGGAGTACAGGATTAGAGACTCATTTGTTTTGAAATCTTCAGAAAGGAATAATGACTGAGAGCCCTTACTGAGCATATTTGCTTAGAAATGGTTATGTCGAGACATCACCTGTTGAGATCTGCTTCCTTTATTATGCATTTTGATTGCCTGAATCATGTGCATATGGTGAATAATGTTGAAGGTAGCACAAACTACGAGGAGGAGTTTGAATGAGTGTCAACGAAGTGAACGAAAACTGTGTAAGATGAAAAGGCACTGGCATACCATGTATCTGAGAAGAATATAAGCAATGATAGTGAGAAGGGATTATTGGTGTTAAATCAAGTTTGATTTCTACTAACTACCGAAACGATACAGAATGATGCACGACTGAATGTGATCAAAGTGAGGAAATTGAAAGAATGCTGTGTTTCAAATAACATATTTATTAATCACAATAGATCTCCTTGCGCCAACAGACGTCGCTTTACTTCCTGCTGAGAGGGGGACTGTTGCGTTGACTTGGAAGCCTCCATTTGCTGAACAAGACGAAATAATGGGATATCAGATTCTTTACAGTTACGGTAATGGTGAAAAGACAAAAATGTAACAAAAGGGGAATTTAATCTATCATTGCCCATTGAAGAAAATGCTATCGGTATCGAGGCCACAGTTGGAACGATCAGCAGGATTAATTATGTCAGGAATGAAACTGAGACGCCAACTCAAGCGGAAGGAAAGTTTGAATTTTTTAACATTAATTATTGAAATTCACCATTAAATATGTCCAATCTTGCCATGACTATATACACAATCTGCTAATTAAAAGGCCACATATGCGAATAAGTGTCCTACATCTTTAATGAAGTGATTAGAGGAGTAATTGCTTTCTGGTAAAGTGTTTGTGTCAAATACTCTTCTTAGACTTCCTGGTCTGAGCACCTGAAGATGTCTTGTAAATGGGTTCTAGGAGGCAGGATTGTAATTCATCAAACCATTGAAGACAACTCACATGCTACTTAAAAGGCAATCAGTAGAGCTGTTGGAAATCACTAGTCGGGTAATTGGAGTTGAAGCTTAGTATGGCTTCGTCATTTAAGAAGCTGAATGGTTGGCTCCTGTTTAGTAAGAGGTACAGCTATTGGCTTTGTACTAATTGGAAGTCATGTTGTGTCCTAACCTTGGCAGCAGAACAGAAGTGGAAGTGGAAATGAGTGTCCCTTCTGATGTGAACTCGTACTTATCGTGTCTTTTATTATTTTTAGGTCAAGCATTATCTTCAGAAAAGAATCTGTCTACGGAAAATTCTGTATTGCACTATTCCAAGACCATCTTTCTTCCATTCACAATGGATGGTAGGTTTTAGTTTATTATGATCTCTTATTTTAGCACAATTTTAAGTATGAAATGAAATGGGGGGGGGGTAATTAGAGGATGAAATAAAACGTACCTGATTGGTTACAGGGTTGGTGCCACTTTCTCTCCTCAGCCTTCGGGATCTGAGTAAATTTTGACGGTTCCATCTGTTATGCCTTGGATGTATCTAAGGTTCGGTGGCAATCAGTTCATATCATCGACTTCCGGATTCCATAATTCCATTCCACCTGAAAATTGCATGCAACACACTTGACGCTTCAAAGCAAATAGCTTAGAATTTGAAATCTACACCTCGAGGTATTGGCTGGTTATTCTCTTCCTTTCAGAATCTCAATGGTTACTTCCTCATTGGTCAAAGGTGCTACATTTTGGTACTCTCCATAATAGATCGGTTAAGTGGGAGTCGTAACCTGGTTCCATCTTGATGACAGCCAGAGCCGTTGTTAATCATTCACCTGAACATTAAAAAGCAGTATATAAGAAAAGCGAATGCTCGTTTCATTCGCCTTTATCTCTCACCACCACAATTGGGCACGCAAAACTCTTCGCCTGTGCTCTCTCTACTGTGCTAATTGTCCTGCATAAGGAACTCATGCATCTACTTTATTAGTTACACCAATAAGTTATGAAGGCCATTGGAGCAATTGTTGGAGACACTTGAATGCGTTAGAGGCAATACAATCTCCGCTCACACTTATGACAATCTCACTTTTTGTCATGACTCTTTTTCACCTCATTTGACGGGTCTTCTGGACCATCCGATGAGATTCCCTCTTGCAATGTCGCGATCAATTTATGCGTATTTTGTCTATTGAATCAGTAATACTTTAGATTATGGAAAAATTTTCTCAATCAATTGATTTTTAATAAGAGGTCCTTTATCTTTTAATTGACTATGCTTTTCATTTGCAGGGTGTTTAGTATTTTATCACTGATATTTAAAGAGTTTTTTTGTTTTTAGGTCCAAACACTCCAAGTTATGTCACATTGAGGAAGGTTAATGCAACTGCAATGATAATATGGCAGCCTCCAAAGAATATGAACCGTGATACACTACTTTACAGTATTGTATATAACTTTGACAACAAAAAAATCCTGAAATACAAAATGACAATGGAAAAGAGTTATTCAATAGAAATTCCTCAGAATGCGCAGGTTATGAAGGCCGCAGTAGGAGTGATATCGAACGAAGCGCCGGGTTCAAGAGGCGTACAAATTTTCACTGCCTATTCCCCGTTTAAATATCTTAATTTGATAGGTAAGACATTGCCTCAGAGTAGTGGAAAAGTCGTTTCCTAAACAGACATCACAAATTAATTTAATCATTTCATAGTGCAGTTGAAATATTAATGCTCATCACAGCCACAATTAGCTTCTAGTAGAAATTAGAGATTAATTGTCACAGTTGACAAACGCTTGAACAGGCTATTTTGTAGAGTTTGTTGCCACCTGTACGCCGAAACCTGTTGCTATTAGGCTTATAAGTCATTTGGTCATTTAGTTTGAATTGAATTACCATTCTTCATTTTTATATTTTAGAAAATGTCGATACTATTGTAGTAAGTGTTTTTTTTTGCATGTTTCATGCTTTCGAAAGTAATTGCTTCATCCTTTCCTATTTCCATAGAAGAATTCTCTCAACCTTGACAAAGCTCATATACAATAAAGAAAGCAAGTGCATTTGCTATTTATTTTCATGCTCTTATGGCTAATGACGTGATGTGTGTTGCACTGAAATGACCTATTTCGATTCATAATATTCCAGTAAGATTTTGACTTACGCTTTTTCACTTCTGGGGGTGGAGAACTGTGGTGTCCAAAGCAATAAGCTTCCAATAGTGATTTTGGGTATGAACAAATCCAATTCCCAGAATTGCTAATTGACATGGAAGTGGAATTGAAAGCATCTTCGGGAGAGAATACAAAAGACAAATTCCTGGAAGTCACGTTTCCATAGTTTTGACAGACACCTCACCGATGAAAGAAATTACCTACGAAAATATGAAGAGAGATTTAACGTGACAAGTTCCCATCTCCACTGAAGACTAAATGACTTAATTTACGTAAGACAATTAAGATCATGATCAGATCTAGCTCTCACACACAACGTGGTGAGATTATTGGTCGGTTCTAGTCTTGGTAGTGGGGAGAGCAACTCAAACATCTCCTTTCTTAAAATGGTTGGGAATATAAAGTTATTTTTCATGTTATTGAACATACCTCCAGTCTCAACTTATCGCGCTTGAAATGGTAGTTGATTCTAAGCAATCAGGTCACTATAAGTCATTCCTTTACTACTGCGGCCAACATCCACTTAGAAATTTTGCCTTTTACACTCTTTTTTCCACTTCAGGTCCAATTTGAATTCGAACTTGGCTGAACGAAGCTCATCTTTGCACCTATTTACCCTGGAACCCTTGACGCTTATACCCATTCCCTAATCATTCAAACTTCACATCACATTTGAAATACAGATAATGCAAAAGAGATTTACTGTGTGTTTGTGTATTCGCACCAGGCAGGCGTTAATTGTAGCGTGATTAGACACATTATCGAAGAATTCCCAAAATTTACTCAAGGTACTTGTAGTTAGCAAATATCCCATCCACAGAATTATTAGATGAAGTTAAATAAATTTCAGTATTTATTTATTTATAAGAAATGCACCGTAGTACAATAAATTCTCTCAACACACAGCTAAAAATATGTTTAAGTTGTCAATGGTCTCAATTGATATATTTGAGCTCTCCAACATTCAATAGTATCTGACAATTTTTCAGACGTCAAATTATTGTCCTCTGGGGGAGACAGTGGACATTTATATCACTTTAGATATCCTCAAATGTTAGCCATGGAGACAAAGCTAATTTGACATTTTCGTCTGATTCTTCCTGTTACACTGTGACTCGCTACTGCCACTAACAAAACACTCGTTTCTTCATGAACTGGAATGTTAAAGGTTTAGATTGGATATGCGATTTTCACTATCCCATTTGCAAGTAATGCTCCATTCTTTCCTCCTCATATCTCGCTTCTCAGAAGTTGCCAAATTTACTGCTGCATTTAGGGTAACTTAAATTAGACTTCCTGCACATGTAAGTAAAGTAGAAATAAGGAATATTCATGATGAGATTTCTATCTTCTCACATTTTCTACCTAATCGGTAGTGACCCAATGATCTGTCACATAATGGAAAGATGGAACTAATGAAGTGATATAAAGTCCCATGAGAGCAGGTGAGCTGGAAGGTTGAATACTGTTTCTGTTCTTCATGGTCACCAGTTTAGGCAATCCGACGATGTTCAAGGACAACTCTGAATGTACTGGCTGACAGCTATGCCATTCAAAATCATGTTTGAGTCGAGAGTCTGAATATTAAATTATCTCGCTCATTTTGCCTGTTAAGCCATATTCAGGTCATCCAAAATTGGGACATCCGAATTAGTCAATCGATTCGTAGTGGTACTCATGACTACGAAATGGGCTAGATTCGTGGTTTGGTCATATCATCGGAGAAAACGTCGGTGTTATATAACCCAAACAAATCAATTCACTGTAGATCGATAGTTACTACATTGGAGTATTTTTATTGTACACTATGGTACAAACATGCTCATATTCAAAATTGGTTTTTCTGGATAAAATATGAACTAAAGATGTTTACTCATAAAGATGTGTGTGCAGATGTCGCGGATTAGCTGTTAGTGTTGCATTAGAGTCGAAAGTTCATTGGTCACCAAGTTGCCTTTGTGTGAAACAGTGACTTGGGAGAAAGACCAACAACAATACACGTTTGTTCTAGTATTAATAAATGTGGGATTTGTGGGCAAAAGTAAATTGAATAACATGGATAAAAGGTGTGGTCAAGTGAAATGGATGAATGTTAGGAGACATGGATTGTTCCAGATGAAAAGCTTTAACCTCATCTGGTGAGACAATACCATTATCAATATACGATGTGGACGCTTTATTTGGATGGGGGTTTGTACACAAATGCTAGTTATCATATGGACACATAGGCAATGACTCATGTCTGACACCTCGTGAAGAAATATTAATGAATTTGGGTGTATCTTCCCTGTCTACCGTACTAATCCTGATGCAATCATGAGATGGTTTGTGCCACCTTTGTGTTCGCTTTCTACTTTACTAAACAGTGGCAGTTGGAGGTCTGGGTTGTGGTTCCGACTCCATAAATCTTCGCAATGACTACTGATGAATAATTTTCTTATTGATGCTAAGCCGACTCACAAAACTGTGATAATTGTCATCACAAGTATTGACAAAGTTGACGTAATCTCTTAACAGCAAAGCATACGTCTGTGTTTTTTAATTAAAAACAGATTTTATTGTTTGGAATATATAAATCCTTTGTGAGGCAAGAAAGCCTATTTAAATAGTGAGTAAAATTTAATAGAAAACCAAACATTTGCATGCAGAAATGCTAAAGTATTTCATTCTCTGTGACCTACAGGAGGAATTTTAGAAAACCCACCTGATTCTTTGATCAGCCACTAAAACAGTGACAGAAACCCAGAGATACTGGGAAACCAAAAGTCAACTAATAAACTACTGTTATCCATTCAAAAGGCTTCATATATATGTTCTTCCACTAAGTTCTCCAGAACCTATGAGAATAGACCAAGACATCTGAAAACGCAATCTGCAAATTGAGAATAGACCAAGACATCTGAAAACGCAATCTGGTCTGGTACAGAAAGCCATAGATCCGAAGAAAGCATTACAAATCGATGACAGACCAAAAAGGCTACCTCTACCCATGAACCCATTAGCAGACACTGATGTAGTGTGTTGCACCCAACCGCTTGACTACTTCAGGAAATCAAACACCCCTCCAGGGCAAATCTGCTCACTGGCCCTTGAGACAATCAATGTCAACTATCCTGCAGATCAAAGACTCCATGTCTTTACTGACGGGTCATGCATAGAAAACCAAGCGAACGTTGGTGCAGGTGTCTATTCTGAACTCTTCTCTTTCTACGCAGCAGCGGGACACATAGATCCGCTTTTGAAGAAGAAATAGAGGCCATTAGGATAGCACTATGCCAATTATGTTGCCTGGATACGAAATTCACCAAAGTGGTAGTACTTTCGGGCTCACAGTCAGCAATAAACTCTATTGGAAACAGAGAGCCACCCAAAACAGCTGAGATAAAGGAATGTAGAAAACTCTATGAGCTGCTGAGAGAGAAAAACAAAACAGTGGTCCTACAATGGATTCCTGCTCACTGTGGCATTAAAGGCAATGAGCTTGCTGACACACTTGCTAAGAAGGGGACAACGATTTTGCAATGCATGGACCGGCTGATGTCTTTCCACACAATGAAGGCCTTAATCAGGAGAGAATTCCAGACCTCAAGGTGCAACGAACTAAAAGCTCAAACAAAGGAGAAACAGTGGACAGTGGCACTCTCCGATATACCCGACTGTCCAAGAATCGAAGCCGTTGCTGAGTTTAGACTACGTACCGGACACGATTGCTTGGCAAAACATCTTCACAGATTGGGAGTTTACACTCAACCCACATGCACTCTATGTAACCTATAGGAGTCAATGGAGAAGACCCACCTGATTCGGTGTCCAGCCCTAAAGACAAGTACGGAAAGCCAGAGATACTGGGAAGCAAGAATACGGCTAATGAATTGTTATTAATTAACTGCTATATATGTACCCCCACCCATGGGGGAAGCTGAAGTCAAAGTTTAAGGGCTAATGATAAATATCATAAAGCTTGGCATTTGGAATATATATATATATATATATATATATATATATATATATATTTTGAGCAAAATTTTGAGCACTCAAATATATTTATACAACATTGCTTAGCAAATGATCTTTCCCTAGCAACTCCAAATGTGTTTACTAAACAGTGCTGATCATGCAGTGACTCTACCAACTGTTGGCAAACAGTTCATTCTTGAAACAGTGTTCTCAAGAGTGTTCAGAAATGAAGTCGTCAAACGCGTGACTTCCACTGAACATCACGTGGATAAAAGGTAGATTTTGAATTTGAAGCACACATTCTAACGGGATGTAAACTGTGAGCAAACCAGAGTTGAGCGACTGTCTGTGGTAATGCTTCTGCTAAATATCACAATTAAATTTTAATTGCTAGGCAGGTATTGTGATGGAGAAATTAGCATAGTTCGGTTTAATGATGAACAGTTCATTCTGAAAAGCGAATAAAACCGACTTCACACGAACTCAAATTATGGGATACTGAGGGGCATATGATTATATTGCAGTTAATCAAAAGGGGTTAATTGGCTGAA